GACGGAACATAGATTTAAATACTGTATGGTTTCAGCAAGATGGCGCCACACCGCATACAGCACGAGCAACAATGGTTCGACTGCGAGGAATGTTTCCAGGAAGAGTCATTTCGCGGAATGGACATGTTCCTTGGCCGGCAAGGTCTCCCGATCTCACGGCTTGTGACTATTGGTTATGGGGTTATCTCAAAAGCAAGGTATATTTAACGAGCCCCAGGACCGTTGAAGAATTGAAGGAAAACATTCGCAATGAAATTAGCGCGATTCCGATGAGTATGGTACAGCGCGTAATGGGGAATGTGCGAAACCGTTTGGAAGAGTGTGTCGGCAGTGAAGGACATCATTTGACCGAAGTTATTTTCCATACATAAAATTACTTATATATTTATGAAAATAAATATCTTGAAAGATACATTTGTAGTTTCATATTGAAACTCATCAGGTTCCTTTGGCGGACCCTGTATAAATCCGCCACGTCTGGAGTCAATTCGAACGTTCATATAAAGAGTATATCCATCCAAAAATATGAGATGATTGTCTACATTTTGATTGAGCCACGTCTCTAATGCAATAATGTCCCAATTACGGCAACTGACCACAGTGTTTTTGAAATCTACAAACTTTACTAAAAGGGATCCGTTGTTTAATACTGCTATTTTAAGGTTTTTCTTTTTATCCATATCAGTAGATAAATTAGCTATAGATGATTCTTGCTTTTAGGTTTTGTATGTACATAGTAATAATAATAATAATTTATTGTCATGAGGTGTTCAATGGTAAACATAGACAACTTCAACATGAGAATAAATAAACACTTTGATAGCAAAATTTCACATTTAAAAAGCATTTTTGCCACACGTACACAAAAACATTACATCAAAAAAACTATGGACAATTAAAATATTCATTCAGTGAATAAAAGGCCTTTTCTAATAAATAAGTTTTCAATGTTTTTTGAAGCCATATGTATTGGTGCAGTCTCTTATATGTACGGCCAAAGCATTAAACATTTTTACACCATTATAGTATGGGCTTTGCTCATATAATCTGGTCCTATGATGGGGCACACTTAGATTTTTACAGTTTCTAGTGATGATGTTATTGTAATAATAACTATTTTTCCTGTATTTATCGAGGTTTTGCTTTGTATCCATACATATACTCAGTATGTATACTATATACGAGTACATGGAATTGTCAATATTTTCAACTGTCTGCAGTACTGTCTGCAGGATGTCATCTGTCATTTTAATGCTGTTCTTAAAATTCGTTTCTGGCATATAAAAACCTCGGCAGATTTCGAAGAGTGAAACCAAAATACTATACTGTATTGTATTATAGGTTGCACATAAGCAAAGTAAACCATTTTCAAGACTTCAGTACTAACTTGATTTCTAATACTGTGTATTAAATAGCAGGCAGAATTCATTTTCGAAAGCACTGCTGTTATTTGTTCTGTCCACTTCAATGAATGGTCTATTTTCACACCTAGAAACTGCAGCGTTCGTTTGAACTATGGTTTTTCCGTTTAATTTCACATAAAGTGATTTGGAAGTCATTATTGAAGTATATAATATTCGTTTTATCAATGTTCAAATGTAGTAAGTTGTCATTGCACCTTAGAGCTACATTATTTACAAGCTTAGTTGATTTTTGAGACAACTGCTCTATGCTTTTGTCAGCCACTATACCCGATATATCATCAGCGTACATGAATAACGAAGTTAAGTTAATAGATTTGGATAGATCGTTTATGTACACTAAAAATAAAATTCGTAATTAGGGAATCTCTAATGGCTTCTTTTGTTGATCTTTTTGGCAAGAAGCTATAGTGGTTTATGACGAAGATATTATTTTCAATAAAAAAGGATAATAGTCTATTGTAGATTATTCTTTCAAATATTTTGGATAAAATAGATAGTAGTGCAACCGTTTGACATATCGTCTTTCAATCCTTTCTTGAATACTGGAATAATTTTAGACCGTTTAAGTTTATTGGGGAACGTACCAGTTAAAAAACATTCATTTATGATAACAGATATAGGGTGACAGATAATGTCAGCAACTTTTTTCACTACATTTGTATGGATCTCATCCATACCTGTTGAATATTTTGGTGGTAGCTGTCTTATTACATCATATACTTCATGTGGAGTTGTAGGTTTGAAAAAAAGACATTTCGTACGTAAATTATTCAATTTAATATTCTTAGGTTGATTAATCCTGTCAGTGTTATGGCTTGTATTAGAGAAATCGTCTGCAAATGCGTTAGCTGTTTCTTGTGGACTGGAGTGATTATTTAACTCTATTGTTGTTACCTACAGTTCTTGTTTTCCCACTCATTCTGTTAACCAAAGACCAAGCACTTTTTGTCTTATTGTGTGTTTGTGATTATATTATTATTATATGCATTTCTAGCATCGTCGATGTATTTTCTATATGCTCTTCTTTCATCTTTGTACCTTCTGTATACGTCCTCACATCCAGTCTGCTTGTAAAGAAAATATAAATCTCGTAAGTTTTGTGACTGTTGTTTAATCTCAGGTGTAATCCAACTATCAATCTTTTTTTGATGCAGTTTACTCATTTGTAATGCATAGTTTTTGTCAAAGTAATAAAATAACACATTGAAGAAGCATTCGTATTTGGCATTCACCCCTTCTGCTTCGTATACTTCATGCCAAGATTCCGACATCAGATCGTTATAAAAACTGTCTGGGGATATGTCTCCTTCTCATTTTATTTATTGTAGGTTGTGATGGTGCAAAACAAGAGAATTTAAAGGTGAGGGGATAGTGATCCGAGATATCAGATTCAATCAGCTGATAAGAGCAATTTTCCACGGTAAAGTCAGAAAAAACGTTATCAATGCATGTACTAGAGACCGGTGTTACCCTTGTCATCGTGTTGATATAACCATCAAGGCCATAGGATTTGAATATCGTATTAGCTTATTGGTGAAATAGTTTGCGAAATTTAAATTGGAATCACCACACACTATAAGATGTCACTTTACCTTTTTCAGCTTATCTAGCAGCAAACTCAAGGAGTCTAAAAATATAACAATGTGTCCATTTGGAGGCTTATAAATACTTATTATAGTAACACTAAAATCACAGGACAATAATTCCGCATACGAAAATTCAAAATGTTTGTCGTGTGATGGTATATTTGCATCTACGTTTTTTATTTTCAGACCAGTTTTAGCATATATTGCCGTTCCACCACCCCTACTAGTTACCTCTTGACAAGAAGCACTTATCAGACTATATTTATCTATCGTATAAATCAAAATTTCATGTTCACACAACCAATGTTCATTAATGCAAATAATATCTGGATTTATATCATTATTAATAATATATTTAGTTCATTCCTTTTATTTCTTCTGCTTCGAACATTTGCATTAAGTCATTTAATCGTGTCCGATTTTGTCAATTTGGAATTTACCTTCGTATCCGGAGTAATCTTTGATTTGTAACTTATTCCATACTGGCAGTATGGAAGATCCAGTTGTTTAAACGCGAAAAAACGGTTCCTTCGTCAACGATGTTTGTGATTTATTTGCATTGACATACAGTGGCGTAGCACCCAATTCGCTTCTAAATACAGTTTTTAATACAATTCTTGTACTGAGTAGTGACACGTTATGAAAAACTTCATTTAAAAGAATTTTAGTCAGAATTCTCAAATTATTAGGACTATCAAACTACTGAATGGAAGTGTTGACAAATTTACGTATAAACCGTTTTATTCGCATGTTGATGAGATGGCCAATTTTTATGTCGCTTGGCTCACTATACCAAGGTACAACTATAAGGTTAGTGGTTCTTGTTATGGAAAGTAAATTTGTCAACCCTTGCTGTAGAGATGATGGACCTCTAAAGTTCTCTGTATTTGTCTTTGAAACGTTCAGGCATACATTTTCGAAGTGCATATTTGGGTAAACGGATCCGTGTACTACATAATTTGTAGTTTCTAATGATTTAGCCAATAGTACAGAAACATTTTTACCCACTTTATCACTAATAACGGTTACCTTCTTTTTAATATTGGTGTTTGAACACACTACGCTTAAGTCGATTATTTCTCTTGGAACTTCACTAATTAACTATACATTTTCTTGCCTTGGCATCTCCTCAGTACCTTGAACAGTTCCACTGTATAGTGATACGGAATCTTGCAGAACTTCCCCTTGTGTAGGATTCGCAGAGCTACCTCCTTTCTCTTCCGCATGCTTTCCCGTTCTTCCTTGCCACTTAGAGCTGTGATTTGGAGTAGTAGTTTTTACACCATGCGCATTGTCATGATTACTGTACGCCCAGGACTCCAACGAATTGTCAGAGGCTGTCAGAAGGATTTTGTTTTGTTCTTCTGGTATTCGTATCGAATCCACCATGTTTTTGCCAGAGTGAATATTTTTTGTGATCAAGCCACATAATGTTCCAAAACTATATACAAAACCTAAAAGCAAGTATCAATTATGGCTAATTTATTTACTAATATGAATACATAAAAAGAAATACCTTAAAATGACAGTATTAAACATTATCATGATCACAATGAATATTTTTTTACTTGTTCTGTTATAGTTCAAGCAGTTTATATATTTTGAAACATCAGACTTACAATCCTTTAACATATTTATGACCTAATGAGTGGCACTTTATACACAATATGAAGGTGATCGCTTACGGGTCATTATTTGAAAAACGGGATGTTTGTGTCCACAGTGATTTTTTTCCTTTGCTTTGGTAAAACTAAGAACAAAATACCAAAAATATTCAGTACTCCACTAGTTCTTACTGAAGCATACCAAAAATACTAATTTTTCATTTATTTCTTAATTTTATTTGCCTCGCAAAATATCATTTCTCACGTTCGTAACGTATCCCCAAACAAATGTTATGAGATATAGACTAATTATTCTTAAACTTAGTAATGTCCAATTGAGATATGCGCACTAGCAATACTTAAAGCCACTCAAAATCTTCCAAAAAATGCATTTTCATTTTATATTTAAATTGCATTTCGTAAAATTACGTGAAATATAAAATGTCCTCGGATTTTCATGTCACCTCCGTAACTGGGGCCGTTATTTCAAACTACAGCCATAAAAGAGTGGGGATGAGTCTGATTTACTGCAAGAGCGATCCATGAGGTCAGTTCATGTTTGTCGGCTGAAGGAGTAGTTGTCCTGCGCGTATCAAAATAGTTACACGTGGTCAAATGCCGATTTTTGTACGTGGTAAGTTCAATTTTCTCACTATTGTAACGCAAATTCTATTTGTTTTCTAAAGTAGTTAACATGAGAGCAAGAGAAGTTAAAAACCATAAATATTCTCTCATATAACATACAACATTTTGGTAATTAACTACTGAGATGTAAGGTGTCCAAAAAAACCGTCCAGTTCGGCAACCCCTCAATCCGCCATTTTGAAATTTGCAGTGCTGAATTTTGTATAAAAAAAACTTTTATCTTATTTGTTACTTTTTCGAATTTTCATTTTTGCTCATACAGGGTGGTCAAAAACGCGAATTGTACTTTTTCTCAAAAATTTCAAATTCACCACCTGTATATTTATGCAATAGGGCCCAAAGGCAGTACATCATAAACGCTTAATAGTATAATTTTCTTTTCAGCTGTACCTGACGGTGAACAAAGCGAAAGACGAGGTGTCGATGCTAGTGGCAGCCAAGACCTCTGGGGCCACCCCCTTGGTTATCGCCTGCCGAAACGGACACTACGACGTCGCTGAATACCTCATCAAAGAATGTCATGCCGATTTAGAGCAACCAGGTTCTGGTGAGTTACTACACAGTCAATAATAAATTTCTTTCCTCACAACGAACCAGTTGGTGAATGTAGTAGACACCATACCGAGCTGGTGCATTTTGATTGAGGCTAAATTGTACATTAGTCTGGTACAGTCTTTGCTTGGATCGTTAGTATTGCACTTAGATAATGAGGAAAATGCAACGGAGAGGCTGACAAACGTAAGCAAGATGCTAAAAAAGTTTCCATCTAGAGGATACCTACAAAATTTTGACATTTTCTCGGAGAGGTTTCTGATCAATGGACTATTTTAATAATTTTTATTTTTACGGGATATTAGTTGTTTTGCCTCCGAAAAGTGTATTCTGAATTTTTCTATGAATAAATAGCAAAACTTATCTTACAAAATAAGCCAAAAATTTCGCTTCTAAGCTATGACGCAATAAAATTAAACGTTATAAATTTTTTCATACCATGTTCTCAGATGTGACCCTTCTTCTGCGGTGGAGGTTAGGTTCCTACCAGATGTAGGAAAATAACCCTTATTTTTCTTCTATTCTTCATTGTCTGTCAGAGCGGCCCGTGGGGGACTTATTCTTTAACGATGATAGTTTGACAAGAAATGCATCATTACATTCGTGTATTCGGAATAAAAGTTAAAACCTATTAGTTGATTCCTTCAGCAGAAGATACGAATACGTTTCTTTTTCCAAAGCACGAACCAAAAATCATGGGACCTGCATCTTCCTTGAAAAATGTACGCTAACCAGCTATACAAATGCAATTTTGTCTAGGTAGAAAGTACCCCATTTTCCGCTCCTAAAGTTGGAGCAATTTTGTGTAATTTTGATAAAAAGAATGATAATAGTAGCATTTATGTACAATTACAATACACACGGTAGTCAGTAATATGCATGTATGGTGTAACGCTATTCCCATATATAATACTTCATAGTTGGAATATACCTGGTGTTTCAAATTCGACCCTCACCATTGGCATCTCAAAAACTGTAAGAGATACGAAATCGCTTAAATGGGGGCAAGTTGCGTATTTAGGTATAGGTAATTAAGAAAATTCCGCTTAGAAAGTTTAGAAATTCAAGGTAGTTCTGGAGAGAGACGGACAAACAGAATTTTCCCAAAATCTTTTCAATTTCTCCATGATTTCATTTGTAGAGGGATTTCAAAATAAACTGCACATTGCCATGTTTTATCCTTTACAAGATGGCATAATTAGGATTTCAATATGACGTTATTGCCAAACTACACTATTATTTTAACTAACATCACTTTGTCTGAATCATATTGTGAAGATACTGTGATGTTTCTACTGAAACCTTCAGATCAGAGAATTTCTCGTCTTTTCCTTTCAAACTAAGTTTAAATCAATGGTTATTCACAACATACACCTATAAATCTCAGATATGCTTATGGCAAATATTTACTTGGAACAGGTTATGTTGAAGCCAAATATTGTTTGTCGCCACTATAATGTAGCTCTAGAAAATCGATATGACCGGACTCTCCGCCATTTTCTTTTCCAATATTACCACTCACCGAGAAAATAATTAGTATTTTTACAAAGGCTTTTTATATTCTTGAAACAATTTTTCTTCCAGTTATCTTCGATGGAGAGACGATAGAGGGCGCTCCTCCGCTATGGTGTGCAGCTGCTGCCGGTTACCTTTACATCGTCAAATTGTTAGTTTCTCATGGTGCCAAAGTCAACACAACCACAAGGACCAATTCCACCCCCCTTAGAGCTGCCTGCTTTGATGGTCACCTAGATATTGTCAAGTACCTGGTAGAAAATGGGGCAGATATCGAAGTATGTATGTGATACTTGGTTTATAATATCGTTGTATAGGGCGGTATCGTCAGTCGTTCATACAATAAGTGAGCCTTTATGGCCTCTTTGATTGTCATAGTTTTCTACTTTTCCGTGTCAGCGCTCTATTTTGAGAATATGTCACAAAGATCTATTTGGATCAAATTGTTCATGCTTTTGATTTATATCATGTTTTATCAGCCTAAAATTTCCTACGATTCCAAAAGAAAACATAACTTCACATTAGGAGAGCGCTGACGCTGACACGGAACAGGTGAAATCTAGAAATTTCTGAAGGAGAGACAATCAAGTAGGCCATGAAGGCGTCCTACAATTGTTGAAACGACTGACGATACGGCCCTTAAGGTCGTACTATTCAACCTTGCCAGTTTGAATAATAATAATTTATTGTTGTTAATGCATGTGATGTGATTACACAGGTCAGAGCAAAATATAAAAGGTGTATACACAAAGAGATAATACAATAACAAACAATACATTATAAATAAGACAAAGGCAAAATATGATTACTAGAAGTGAGCAAACAAAATGGAAAGTTATGTTAAAATCGAGAAGAAATTCATGGATGTCAAAGAAAGCTCTTGATAAAATAAAACTCTTTATTAACCCACTAAAATCGTCAATATCTAGATCTTGTCTGATGAGATAAGACTCGTCAATATCTAGATCTCTTGTCTAAGACATTAAAAGGTTTCAAGCCAAGAAATAACGCCATTTCTGGTTGTTGTTGTTGTGAAGTTTTATGTAGTAGTTTGTCTTATTTCGAGTATTGTATGGATGCATTTCTTGGTGGGTTCTATATGCCTGAGAGTTAATCTTGACATAAATGAGGCCGTAATAAATGTAAGCACAAGGCAAAGTCATGATCTTTGGTTTTGTAAATTCTTGTCTACAGGGATCTCGGTACTTCAGGCCTGCTACGTACCTACACACCTCCTTTGTAGAGCAAAAATGCTATACATAATGTAGTCGAATGACTCGAAGCTAGAATAGCATGTCTCATTTTACTATGAAAATGTGCGTGGTAGCTGGATAACAAGATTTTTTTGGGATACAGAATTTCTAAGATTATGAATGACTCGTAAATGAATAAGTTTTGTTAATGATTTGCTAACATAACTGTGTTCATCCCAGTTTAAAGTACCATTTATGTATATTCCAAGAAACTTAACTGTTTTCACACAGTTATTACCAACGTAATGGTTTCGTGTAGAGTGATGGTCATGGATTGAGTTTTGTTTGAATTTACTGTTAACTTATTGATTGCAAACCATTCAAGGACTTTGAACTCAAAAGTATAGGTAACATTATCCAAGTTGGTAAGGGAATCGTGAGTTGAAACAACAGGAGTGGCGTCATCGGCCTATAGAATTAGCTTGTTATTAGTTTTGCTGGAACGGTAATTGGTCGTTTACATACAACAAGAATAAGTTCTTTGACAAAGATTTTTTATAAATTACTTTTACAAAAGTTATACGTAAAAGAAATGTTATGGTTGCCAAACAGCCTATTACACTACGTAAAAGATTTTCTAAACTATTTTAAGAAGGTAGTGAAATTCAGCTATGGACGACGACGTAGAGGTTGCTGCCATAGCTAGTTTTACTTCGGCAGCCATTGTAGTGTCTTCAACACCGAAAAAGAAGCGACTGTGCGTAAAACCGTGGATCGCCCGCCGTGTGTTGAAGGGGATCTACAATAACTTGGTCCAAGAACTGGCAGTGAAAGATCAGAGAAATTATGTTAACTTTTTGAGAATGGATGAGGATGACACATTTAGCACTGAGGAGCGGCTCATGGTGACATTGCGATTTCTAGCCACCGGAGAGAGTTTTCCCCCATCTTGACACAACTACGCAAAATCTTTTACCAAATATAGGATGAAGAGGCTAAATATGATAAAAGCGCTTTTATAAAAGTTTCCTATTATAAAAGTTGTCCTATCACATTTCTTTTACTACTTCTAACAGAGGTCCAAGGACAGAATGGTACGACCCAAGAGATTTAAGGTGGACCTAAATGCATGTCAATACACTTTTAGGTTAAGAAAGACATCAAGTACAGCAATTCATGCAGAAATTGCTGGTATGATGGTAGTGTGGCAGGATTTACATACAGGGTGTTACAGAATGTTGGCAGGAAATTTTTAGGGCAAATTCAGCACATAAAAATATGAAAGGAGCTCAAATGTTCTGTTTCCATAATCTGATGTGTTTAAATTTTTTAGCTTACATAAATTTGTACGCCACTAGTTTTTGCAAAATTAAGTGTCATTTTATCAAAAGCATATTGATTCTGCATGCAAAGGAGTCTCTTTTACTTCTCACGCCAGTTGGCAGGGAAGTCCATATCACTGATTTTCGTCGGTCTCTATGTCGGTCTGACCACTAAACCCTGATGCCCATATAACTCGAAATGTACCGCTCGAATGTTGATGAAACTTTGATACAATATTGCTAATACTCATATACTAAGGAAGAAAAAGCCTTCTAGGTCGTAGTTCGTTATTTTTCTGACGTTTCAGAGATCCTGGTTAGTTCAGGAACATTTTTCGAAGGTTAGGCGTTAAAGGGGGTGAGGGTCATGCATTTTGTCTGTGGTATCAGTGAGAGACATTCCCTTCGTATCACCTCGCCCCGTATGTTTTGTTCAGTTCAGCACTACTCTCAATGTTGTATATTGTATAAATAAGATTATAGTGTAACGCGAGTGTTGAATGTAAAAAAAGAAATCGAATAAAATCTGAAGATTCATATTGAAATATTTTCGAAATCATTTCCTATCTCAGGATCTTGGACTAGGGGATGGACGTGATTCATCTCAGTAGCGAAATGCACAAAAATAATACAAATACCTATGTGTTCGTTGAATGGATTGTAATAGAGTATTATGATTGATGACGGAATTGTGTGCGAAGCACGGTCAGTCTAGTTAACGTCATTTTTTGGGTTTCTTAAATTACTTTTCGCTCAACATAAGAGACATGCCGAGATGAACGCCACTGATTTAAGTGCATGTTAACGTATACCAAAGCTCAACTCGATGTTTCAGTTTATTTTCGAGAAGCATAAAGTGAACTTTGAATTATCAAAGACAAACAATTATAGAAACGAAGGACCTATGCCTACGAGGATGGTCCAAAAGAAAAATGAAAATTTTGGAAAAGTGGCAATTTATTTCTCAACATAGTCTTCTTTTAGCTCTTCACGCTTGATCCAGCGATGCTCCAACTACTTTAACCCGCTTGAAAAATACGTTTTCTGGAGTTCTTCAAAGTAGGTCTCAAATTTCTGACTGGCGAGTGACTTTTTCAAGTTTGGAAACAAACAGAAGTCGCACGGAGCTAAATCTGGAGATTACAGTGGATGGGGTAGCAGTTCGTAACCTAATTCGACCAATTTGGCCTTGACGACAACGGAAGTGTGGCCGGTGCGTTGTCATAGTCGAAGAGCATTTTTTTTCGCCAAATGGGTCCGTTCTATCTGCCTTTCTCCAGGTAGTCGATATTGATAACACCTTGTGAATCTCAGAATACGGCGGCCATCACCTTTCCAGCCGATAGGACACTCTTCGCCTTCTTTGGAACACGTCCGCTGGGTGAAGTCCACTGTTTAGACTGTTCCTTGAATGGTGTGAACCAGTGGATCCATGTTTCGTTGAAGGTCACGAAACGACGCAGATACTCCTTCGGATTGCGCTTAAACAGTCGGCTTCGGCTGAAATTTTGACAGTAGCCGTTCACGAGAATGTACGAGGGTCACGCTATATATTTTGTGATACACGAAAACTAGAAACCATTTTTCGAAAACTAGTTTATTTATGTTCAAAGTATTCTCCTCCAGCATCAATGCACTTCTGTAGCCTGACCTTCCACTAATGAAATGCTTCTAACCAGTCAGTTTTTGGAATGCCTTCAACAAACTGATTAATTGCTTGTTCGATTTCCTCTTCGGACGAAGATTTTCGACCACGCAGATTTTTTTTCAAATCGTTGAGGAGCCAGAAGTCACACATTGCCAAATCTGGCGAGTAAGGCGGATGCTCCAGCATTTTGATGTTGGCGCTGGCGAAAAGTCTACAGTTAGTTGGGCAGTGTGGCTAGAGGCATTGTCGTGGAATGCACGCAACAACTTTTTTTAAATGAAGATGATCATGCAAAATGGTGTGGACTGTTTCGGATCCTACCCCAACATTTGCCTCTATAGTCGCATTTGTGCAGCGAGAATCTTCTTCAATTAGCCGCTAAACTTTAGCAATCTTTTCTGGAGTCACACTAGAACAGTCAAAGAAACACGCCCTCTTTTAAATTCGGCATACCTGCTAAACACACTTGCCCGGGACGGAGCTTCATTACCAAATGCCTGGTGTAACTGTTCGATACATTAATGTTCAGTTAAACCGAATTTAGTCATAGTAAATCATAGCGCGATAACTCTCTCGAGACAACTCCATGTTTCGTCTTAAAGTTGTTTACACCACGTGCACTGCAAAATGCTTGCAAATGAACTGAATGCGGCGACTTACTAATAAAGGACTGCTCTTCCTAATAGTGCACTGTTGCCGGTTTGAACTAGTATAGTTGTCAATGCACATCTCAAAATATACAGCGTGCCCCTCGTATTACACGATAGTGAATTTCTTTTGCGCTAGTGGCGCCATCGGGCGGTGAGGCTAAGTACTTATCGTACTACCCTCGTATAAGAGCTTGTTTTATATTTTAATCTAAATCCCTCTTCTTCAGTAATAAAGAAATTATGAAGAGGATGCCAAGACACATCGACACATGTGCTGATGAGTGAGCTAATGCCAAAAAGGTATCTTGTCTCTTCCCCGTGGGACTTGAACCAGCGTGAACTTTGTACCATCTCATAGGTAATGAGTTAGCACCAAATGAGATTGATTAGATGGAAACAGTCAAACCAGGAGACTCCTGAATTGGAAACTTGCCTTCCTATAGAAAATAGGGTTGAATATTCAACTCCCTTTGCAAGAAGTGTAGAGAAAAAGCAAATACTGCAGAGAGTATTAATACTGCGTTGAATGATAAAGATCCACCTCAGCCTATAAACATATTATTTAGGACGTTTTTCAATATTATCCGATGTTACTGAACTGATCCATTGGTGAACACGTATTGAATATTTATTTGATATCAGTACTAGATAAAAATTCAATCTTCTATTAATAGTCATGGCATACTGAAAACGTATGTGTCTACTGAACATCATTTTGTGACGTTAATTTAATCGTTGTTATGTCAGATAAAACTTCGCACTATTCATATACTAAGCTGATCGGATAGCACACACAGCGTAAGCGCCTCCTCTGAAGGAATGGAGCAGAGGCCATTTTTCTTTCATTTTACCTAAATCATAGTAATCGAAGATCTTGAAGTGGGCTACATGTAGACTTGGTACAAGCCACGGATAAATAATGAGCAATTTTGCAACCGGCTGCAACCGTTGACATCTCAGATGCAGTTATTGAGGTGTACCTAATATTCAGGGTGCCTTTCACATTTTCATACATTGGGGTCTTAGAACAGTAAAATACCTTTACTGAGATAATAAAGATTTGTTTTATGTTTTAGGTTGCAAACCGTCATGGCCACACCTGCCTGATGATAGCCTGCTACAAGGGTCACATAAAAATCGCCAAATACCTGTTAAGCCTCGGCGCGAACGTAAATCGGAAAAGCGTCAAGGGTAACACGGCCTTACACGACTGCGCCGAATCCGGCAGTTTAGAAATACTCAAGTTACTCATAGAACACGGAGCTACCATGGATGTCGACTCGTACGGTAATAAGCATGCTTTCAGTTTCTTCCTTTTGCAATCTATAGTGGAATCCATATACCTCCGACGTCGTAATGCTTACGCCAGAAGCGTGCAATACATGTGTTAGAAAGAGACAGAAGCACCTCTCTGCCTAGCAACCCGAGTGACAAGGCCACGGACGCCATCGGCGCACCCTTTCTAACATTCGTATTGTATGCTTCTCGCGCTACTCTCTCGTACACATTACGACTTCAGACAAATTTGAGCCTCACCGTATATCCTTTTTTGGGTTTTACAAGGAAGTATTCCAGACTTGTTCTGATTCTGTGCTATAGGTTCTTGTCTTTGGAGAGCCGAATTGTGATTTGCTATTGAACGTTTCTAGGATAGTTCCCTGTAGAAACCGGTATGAAGCTTATGAGGTTTGTCTCAAAAATAAGGTTCCCACATTGTTTCAGACACAAGTAATTTTTTTATTTGAAAAACGGAATTTATCATTATAAATGTTGCTATAAGCTATATTACTACATAGTCGCCATTTTTTCTACGCATCTTTTTTAGACGTAGAATCATCTTTTCAATCCCGCCTCAAGGAAGTCTGTCGCCAGCCCGCTTGGAAAACTTGGTAACTGCCCTTTGCGTGCAAAAATCGGATGACCTGACGAATTTCAAACTTGGCGGTGACGGCGCATAGCTGCCAGGCCGGTACTGAGCGTCGCCAATAGGGCTTCTTGTTGGGACCGGTGATGGGGTAGCCTACAAACACGAAGGAGTTGACAGATTGCGCCTGGCATCACGTTGGGAACCTTATTTTTGGAACAACCCTCATATATATTTGGTATTAAAGGTGCGAATCCACAATGAGAATATTTCATGAGATTTGTGTCTCATGAAACAAAAAAATCAAGAAACATTTATTTTCATTGTGGAAACAGACCTGAGACACGTGATATACTAGAGATAATCTCGTGAGAGAATGTGTCATGAGACTTTAATTTCATAAGCAAGTATCAACGTGTAAATACGATACATTGCGAATTTCGCATGAAATATTTATTTCACATGCTGCACGTGAGTCAAACAATTGTGTCGTGATATAAAAATAATAAAAATGAGTGAACCTAGTGAACAAAGGGGTGTTAAAAGAAAAGATTGTAATGTTAACTGGACAAGAACCATGATACGGCAGTTAATAGAATTGTATGAATCCCATTACAATTTGTGGGACTGCTCTTCCGAAAGGTACAAAAACCGAAATCTGAGGAAATCAGCTATGGATGAAATTGCAAGCAAGTTGGGAGTTTCGGCTCAAGACGTTAAGGAAAAAATACATAACCTACGTTGTCAATTTCAAACCATAAACAGAAAACGCAAAAATACCAAAAGTGGCCAGGCAGCGGGAGACAATTTTGAGGTTAAATGGGAATTTTATGATGCCTTAAAATTCATAGACGGTCCAACCAATATTAATGAAAGAACAATACTTGATTCATTGGTAAGTTTAATAATAAATATTCTAAATATATTTATATTGCCATGGAACTTCTCCTTCCTGGTGAAAATATTCTGTAAATTCCCGTTGTACATCTTTCGCTTCCAAATTTCCCCGTAGATGTGGGTTAACATGCAGATCCACCAGGCCTTGAGTTGATTGTCTCCATTCTCCTGGTTCTATAGTGCCAGTTTCGTGATTTTCCACATCAAAACTACCATAAGGAGCGTAAAGTCGTTTAGACCGTGTCATTAAGAAATTATGTAGCACACATATTGCAGAAACAACGTGGATCAATTTTTCTACTCCTAGTTCAATCGGTCTTCTTAAAATGCGAAATCTAGCAGAAGCTAAACCAAAAGCATTCTCAATTATTCGCCGTGCCCGTGTTCACCATGCAGATTTCTAAATGCATATGGTTTCATAATGTAAGACTTCATGGCAAAAGCGTCGTCTGCTACTATGACAAAGGGAACTGGTTTAGTTCTACCTGGTAGTGGTCTAGGTGTTGGAATACCTAAACTGTTATCAGCCAGTTTATTTGATAGAGAGCACGCATTAAAAACACCCCCATCAGAAATTCGTCCAAAACATCCGACATTAATGTATTGAAATTTATATTCTGCGTCAGCCAGTGCCATAAGTACAACACTGTGGGTGCCTTTGTAATTGTGGTACAAGCTTCCACGTTGCTTAGGTGCTTTAATAAGAACGTGTTTGCCATCCAGTGCGCCGATACAATGTGGGAAATTCCACTTTTCTGCGAACTGTTGGGACTTTTGCAGCCATTCTTCCTCGGTGCAAGGCATCTGTAACAAAATTTATGTATATTTCCTTGTTTAATAACTATGGTTAATTATTATGCATATTAGCTTGGATATTATTTGCTTTTAGACTAACGAACCACCTACTGTCCTAAGAGATGACCTAGACGAAAATTCTGAGAGTAGCGAATCTCATATTCAAGGTGTTATAACTGAAGGAAACAATTCACAAACTCCAAGCACATCACGTTCTAATACGCCGCTTCAAACATCACATGATGTCACACCGAGTTCATCAAGATCTTCCTCGGTACAACCAAAATTAAACAAAAAGAAAGATCAAGAGCAACAAGTTGTACTTGACAAATGCATCAATGTTCTATCACACTCAGCAGACTCCTTTGAAGTCTTTGGGGATTATGTGGCTGACGAACTGCGGGTTATGAGTTCGAAAGCTCCAAAGCTGCAGTCCTGGGCGAAGCGAGAAATTCAGCGTATTATCTTGAAAATGAACGATGACTATGAGCTCCAATTACAGCAAAATACAGTAACATCACAACAGCAACCCATAAATAAACAGATAATCATAAATCAGTCCATAGAACAGACACCGCTCAATAATGAAATTCCAAATAATGATGGTGATGATTTAACTCTTTCCCAATATTACGAGTCATGTACATCTAATTACTTCAAAATGTAAAGTAATGGTTTAATAAAACAAAGCTTTACAGACTTACATGTAGATATTCTTTTTTCAGCACGTTGTAAATTGCAGCGCACACTTCTGGTACAATTCGTGAAATAGTACACACAGGTATGCGAAATAAATACATCAGCGAGTGGTAGCTGTCTCCTAAAAAATGTTTGTTTCTTCATACTGGAAGCAAAGGAATTACAATGTACTTACCTGTAGCTAAGAAACGAAGAGTAATAGCTAACCTTTCAGCTGCTGGAATCGCATTTCGCATATGTGTGTTTTGTTTTTCTATTGCAAATTTTATTTTATCCAACAAATATTTAAAATCAGCGGCGGACATTCGAAGAAAGTTTTTGTAACATTCCGGATCTTCCCGTTCCAGTTCTTCCAATAATGTTTCCATTATATTCTTATTTGACCTTCTTTTAATCCAATCTCTCACCCAATATCTATGAGTCCTCCTATTTCTACGACGGGACTTAACGGTTAAGTAGTAATAACAAGCGGCAGCTTTTCTTTTATCCTTTTTAGTTACCATCTTGAAAATCACTTCACAACATACAATAATTTAACAATGAAAGAACCAATCTTTGGATGTTTAAGTTACAGATTATTAACTGTGGAAACAGTGCTGTCAGAGACACCTTGTCTCGTGTGAGAGTAAACTCTCGAGTCGCATAAACTCAAGTATTTCAGAGAAATATCTCATATTCTGTGGAACCATATCTGAAATAAATTTCTCATGAGACAAAAATCTCAAGAGATTTCAGTCTCCTTGTGGACACTCACCTTAAATGTTGACTTCATCAAGTTTAGCTACTGTGTCAAGCCTCCTTATGAATTTTCTAAATAAACCTTTAACAAATAGCACACTAATGCAAACCTGGTAAAACCTCTCCGTACCTTCAACGATCAGTGCAATGTCGCACTGCTGCTGCTGAAAAAATTACATATTTAATATTTTTTAACAAGATGATAAAGTTACAGTGTTTTGAAATGTGAACACTATGAAGATAATCATTATCCTAATAACAATAACTGACTTAGCTTCATACTTTCGATCAAAAAAATCGTACGCCTTAGGATGTGAGCGTATATCGCTTAGGATGCTTAAATTGTTTCCTTGTTTTTTCGAACTACTTCCTCCTTATTATAAATTATTGTCTAATGAACGGATTGTTTCCTGAATCTTGGAAAGAATCTACAATATTACATCTTGCCAAAAACAGTAATCCCACATACCTGTGCTATCTAAATTATTGGATAAGGCAATGTACGCTCAAATAAATGAATATATATCAGAGTCTCAAATATTACCATCAATAGAACGTGGTTTCCAAAAGGACTACAATACTGCAGGTGCCTTGTCGGAGCTGACAGACAATATTGTTAGAACGTGATAACAACACTAACATTTCTTGATTTTAGTAAGGTATTCGATAGTCTCTAAATCTAAATAATCGTGTGCTACTTGCTTAATGTAAATTTTATGTTTTTTTCGATTCCTGTATAAATATGATTAGTGGGTATTGAGCAAAGAATTACTATTGACAAGGGTGTGTTGCCTAAATGTGCCATGTCATCTGGAATACCCCAAGGTTCTGTGCTCGGACCATTATTATTTAATTCATATATCGCCGACTTGCACTCATGTGTTTACTGATGACTCAAATTTATAATCACTTCCACAGTAGCAACGCTCATATCGCTGAATATGAAATCAATAAAGATATAAAATTAATTAATGCATATGCAAAAAATCATAACCTCAAACTAAACCTTTCAAAATGAAAAGTAATTATTTTTTCACCTAAACCTTTTAGGAATCGTGTTAAAAACAACTGTAACGTCAGTTTAGATGGTGCTACTATCGAAATTAATGAATAAGTCAAAAACTTGTGAATTCTTTTACATTTAATGCTATATACATTTTCCTACTAAGATACATTTTACGAGGGTAGTCCGATCAGTCCTTAGCCACACCGGCCGCTGGCGCCACTATTCGCGAATTCGAGTCGTCAGCGTTGTTGCTGTTTTTCTTTCGCTCTTGCTTCATTGCCAATTACT